TCAAAGAGATTTTTTCTTAGACTTTTGTAATACTTACAAAAATTGTAATTTTTAGCGAAAATTTTTCAAGCTTGTAAATCCACTTTCGTATCTTCTTCGAGATCCTACGGAAAGAATTCGAACGACATGAAAAATGTACAAGATGAAAAATTCGTTCATAAATACGAGAGAGAGAGAGAGAGAGAGAGACAGAGAGAGAGAGAGAGAGACAGAGAAAGAAAGAGAGATAAAAAAGGAAAAAAAGGAAATTCTTTCCGTACGCAAAGCCACCCGATATATATGTATATATACATGTACATATATACATACATATGTATGTGTATATATATATCGTTCATCTTTCTTTCTTACACGACGATTGTATTGTAATTCTTCCTTAGGCGATCGACTAGTCGCTCCTAGCTGAATCGAGCTATTACGCTTAAATAATAATAATAATAATAATAATAATAATAATAATAATAATAATAATAATAATAATAATAATAATAATAATAATAATAATAATAATAATAATATAATAATAATAATAATAATAATAATGAACACAACAAAACTAAAAAAGGAACAGGCAAGCGTACACGCACACATACACACATAGACGCACATAGAATATCATACGATCCGAGTAATTAGTTAGTTAGTTAATTAATTGATTCATTGATTCATTGATTCATTGATTAATTGATTAAAAACGAAACGAATAAGAACAAGTAAAGAGAACAAAAAAAAAATGGAAATATCCGATGAGTTCTTAAAATCTTTGAGTCGCGTATTGAATGAAAAATATTAATCGCGTGATTTTTCAATCTCTGTGAAATATTATTTCCGAAGAGGAACAAAGAAAAAAAGAAAAAAAAAAGAAAAAGAAAGAAAGAAACGAAGAAGAAGAAGAAGAAGAAGAAAGAAAAAAGAGAAAATCACGAGAAGTGGACAAAACAAATGAATAAAAAATTTAATATCATTTTTCAATTGGATTGGCGCAGTGTCTCAGTGTGCTTATCATTATCTAGATGAACGTTACGATGTATCGAGAGACCCAAAAAAAAAAAAAAAAGAGAGAAAAAGAAAAAAACAAAACAAAAAAGAAAAGTAAAGAAAAAAGAAGTTTTATCTATCTCCGACTTTATCGCCGACGAGAAATACGAGAAAGGACGTTAAGGGGATGAGCGTGAAAAAGGGTGAAAAAAAAATGATTAATGAATTAAAAAAAAAAAAAAAAAAAAGAAGAAAAAAAAAAGAAAAACAGGTTTTCAAGATAAATAAATAGAAAAATAAAGACGGGTTGAATGTAAGCAAGGGGGAAAAAAAAAAAGGAAAAAAAAAGAAAAAAGAATGAGAACAATGAAATTTTCAATGATGCAAAATTTCGAATTGTTCCTAATGCGAAAATCAAGAAACGAATTCGTTCGACGTCAGTTTTCTTATACGACGCGTTTGGCATTCGATTGAAGAGAGAGAGAGAGAGAGAGAGAGAGAGAGGGAGAGAAAGAATAAAAAAAAAAAGGAAAAAAGAGACTATATGAAATTATCCTATTCGATAAATGGCTTCGCGAAGATCCGATGTCCGTTTTACCGTAGGCAAAAAAAAAACAATAAAAAAAAAAAAAAAGAAAAAAAATTCTATGCACCGTGCGAGAAACGTGAATCGAAACTTAAAATTCTTACATTAGTTAAAAAAATTTTCTTATCAGCAGCGCGCCTTTCGATTCACCTTTCACCTCTCGCTTTTAAATGGGTAATAAGCGCAATCTGTATAATAAAATACTATTTGGCAAACGGGACGATGTGTACGCATTATACGTAGATGTTAAGTGCTATTTACAAACCGACAGTATCATCCGACATTAGCTGAATATAATAAACTGCCACCAATTTTGGGTCTACGTATGTACGTTTGAGCACTACTGCCATTTTCCAAAGAGGGTTGAAGGACACGTACGCGAAAAAACAACAAAAAAAAAAAAAAAAAGAAAAAAAAAAGAAAAAAAAAAGAAAAAAGAAGAAAAA